CGCGCTGTAGGGGGTAAGCATATCTGTTGATTTAACATTATTGACAATAGCCTGTGTGTTCTTGTTGACTGCTTGTCGGTGTGTTGTTATGGTGTTATGACTGACAGACGGACATGAAGCAAAAATGCAAAAACAAAAAAATAGCATGCCATCAACACACAAGGGCAAACTCCGAACACAAAGTCAATACAAAAATACAATAACAGGAACTAAGGATGAACATAAACAAAAAAGTAACAGATTGTGAACCTTCAAAGAGCCCGGATGTTGCGTTAGTTCCGTTGTTTTACGATAATACCTTGTGCTGCAGTAGTAAAGGGCAGTTGTAAGTTTCTGTGTCACTTGCGTTTTAACATGAATACACAAATACATGTGCTGGTATTTTGGTATTTGACCAACGGAAAATACTGATAAATATTTATCTCGCATTGAAACTTCAATCGTTCATGAGGTCGTGCATGCCTTACATATTTACCCTCTTTATGCTAGATTTGTATGGTACATATAGTTTGTACTAGGTTCAATGTTCGCACAACAGCTAAGGTCATATGATGACGGGTTCCTAGGGAGACACCAGAAAAGAAAGAGAAGAGTAAGAAAAGTAAAAAAAGAAAAGACAGAAACTCAGTGTTGCAAATGGGGCAGCATATTAGTTTTTGTTCTTTCCAATGTCCTCTGAAAATAAGAAAGATGAAATCCCTGATCTTGCAGGTGACCGGACATACGTTTCCTATGACGACAAAATGCAGTGCCTAACCTCTATAATGTGACTGCCCTTACTGAATGAAAACACGATTCTTTGTTCTTCCGAGGTTAATCATGTTTCACAACGCGCGAAAAGTAAGGTGTATAGATATTTATTTTGCCGAGAAAAATCAATCAATCAAGATGATCACATTGACGCGCCATTGTGGTCGTCTGCTTCCGTCATTGGAAACCCGGTTGTCATTGCTCCTATCCAGTTTTTCTAGAGAGGTTCCGAATAAGAGAAATATGTTCGGGGAGACTCGAGCGCGTGGTTTTGGTTTAGTTTAGTTTGGTTTGATTTGGTTTAGTTTGGTTGTGTTTTACGTCCAATATAAGCTCTGGTCATTTAAGGACGTGGAAGGTTTTGGTGGTGGAGGAAAACCGGAATTCCCGGAGAAAAACCACCGACCTACCCAACGTAGGTCTCGAACCCGCGACCCAGTGGTGGAGGGCTAGTGTTAGCAGAATGTCAGATGCCTTAACCACTAGGCCACCACGGCTTCATCGAGCGCGTGAGGCCGACATGGTGTTTTATTACCCCGTCGTGTGATCCAAATCATCCAATCAGACACGCTCTTATAAAGGTGAGGTATAAAATATCTCCAAACTTGCAGGGGCCTCCGTGACAGACCGGACAGGTCTCACACCTCTACCTCTTTAAAACAGAAGTTACATGGCCCACCTAGCTTCTATTTACACAACATATTGTTCACTTCTCACAAATGTATCCTCTTATAATAAACCATGTATAATCGATCCAAAGAGACTAGATAAACATATCATCGTGAAATACGTGTATAGCATATATCTAGATTTTAGAAATGGAGCTTTCGGGTTTCATATCGAGACTCTTAACTTGTCCTTATGTATTTGATTTGTATTTTTAATAAAAACAACAAAATCGATCTAATCTCGACTACTGAGCGTTAAAACATGTAGGAATTTTATACGTATATGTAACTACACTAGGAATATGGCGATATATATATATAACCATTTGATAAACAGCAAGTTACATGTATAAATATCGCGCGTTAACACTAGATATTTCTACATATTCAAAGGGAAGTAACTCGAGTTTGAAATACTATGACAAAGTTCCATTCGGGGTCGTGGATATTCGTGATTTTCAGTTAACTTCTGTTGCATGTTCCAAATTCAAATGGGACTTTCTTGACCTCGATTTCATAGAAAGACCTATATCTGACCTCCGTATAGACGAAATCATCCGAATGTACAAAATGAAAATGTTATGTTGTAAGATTTTTTAAATTATGGACTTCTTAAATAATTCATCCAATTTGAAAATGTAGAAGCGGGTGTAATGAATGAAGGTTTGCTTGGAAATCCAACAACGCAGAGATCCTGGATTTCCGTGAAAATGTCGAGTGCTAGATGCCTGTTGCTGACACCCTCGATATCCATTGGTAACGCTCACTTTCGCTCTCTACACCCCTGGAATATACCATAGAGAAATGGAAGGCTCAGTGTGCGCCACCTTGTTGATGAGACAATAAGACTAGTTCGATCCTTTGATATATATCACAAGAATATCGCAGTCACGTAACGGTAAAAATTGGCAGGCGTTGAAGTTGGGAGTCTCTCCTCTGAAATCTTCAAAGGACATGTATCAGCCTAGTGATTGGTCAGGTGGTTTTTTTACCTGAGACCAATCAAACAGCTATCTTCGTGCCTTCAATTTTGCTATGACATATTCCAGGGGTGTAGAGAGCGAAAGTGAGCGTAACCAAAGGATGGCTGCTGAAGACAATGGGCACAGTTTATAGTCGTCATCTTGATCTTATTGGCAAATATTCAATTCCCTTTTGCGTTGAGTATATCAGCATTTTTTGTATTATGCTCATAATTGTGCCTTATGATTTTCTTGTCACTGGCCTTGTTCTCAATATATACGGCCGAAAGCGTCGATAAAGCAGAAGCTGTCTACCATTCCAGAAAAGCCGGACTAATTGTCTATTTTTTTAATTTTATTTTTGATAATAAAGGTAAAGTCAGCGCCTATGTAGATTTCACATAAGGAATTTCAAAACAAGATAAATACAAACTAGAAAATGTCTGTAAGACATAAATGCCCCCGCTCATGGATGGGACGCGACGCGACGCGACAGGACGGGACTCGACGGGACGGGACGGACATCCTGTGTGGGTGTTAAAGTTGCCGTAATAATATTCCTCTCAGAGCATATAAATGACACAATTACTTTAAAATCATATCATCGTGTGCAACATATTCCAACTGTCATTTTGATACCAAATATTACACTATTTTAAGGGAGAATTGCTTTTTATTTGTTTAAGCAGAAAAATATGTGAAATTTCATTACTAATGAGAAAATTTCCATTTTGGACACGTTAATTTGCATAGTTCTAAAACGAATCTATTTTTCATTGTTCTTTAAAAGTGAGCTACAATAATATCTTTCAACGTGAGGAATTTCGAAAAAATGTCAACTGGTTAATTTGTCATATAACACCTTTGATTTAAAACAAAAAAACAAAAATAAACCGAAAGCTATCTTGCCCTTTTCGACTTTCCGCTTATAATTGTGTTTCTTCAAAATCAAAAATTTCTTTTTTGTCTTGGTATTTGACAAGTAGGTTGTTGGAATATTAAGTGAATGGATATTAATTTGGTTTACCTTCGTTCAAGGTCACACGAATCAAATGTGTTAAAATAAAATGTGTACGGTGAGTTAGAAAAGGTTACCTTTCCTTGCTTTACCTGTTTAGAGGTAAAGATATAAACTAATAAACTATTCCTTCATGTTTTGTTTACTGAATGGGAAAAGACAAAATAATAATCACGAGTAAATTAGTTACATTATTCAGATTACTTTATTGTTTTTATAGATATCTGCATATCTTTATCTATAACACAATCTCAACCTAAAATAGCATCCAGAAGAAAGAAACTTTTGCAGAATACATATTTATGAGTTGTTACTGCTACACACAACTAAGAAACATGCGTAATATCATGAAGTGTTTTGGTGTGATAAAAAAAACCCAGCACATGTATCGGTATTTACCATAATAAAAACATTGGTACTAGTAATCAAATCTTCGTGATTATATGCAATTGTGCACTGGCCATGTTTGGCATGTTAAAAAAGTATTTTACCGGATTTTATATTACATGAAAATAATTCTGTAGACAGAACATGTATATTAAACGTTTTTGAAGAAGTATAAAATTTAAACTACAATTGAAACTATATATATATTATAGGCAAGTTGACAATGTTGAATATTTATTTTATTTTGCCTTTTTTTTCGAATTCTTATTCAAGGTATCAAAACGCTTTCTTCAAATATATAAATATAACATATATAGTATCAAAATAACAGTTATCTTATACACTATATACTATCATAATTCATTTTCAAAATTATATTCTCTTGTGACATCTATTATTCATTTTATTAGGATACCACTGTTACTGAACCTGGTGTTATGCAAGGAGGTCCACTATACGGTTATCAGTAGTAATAATGAATAATCATATGTGCAGTTATTGTCCATTTCCATGTACCTACATATGGCAGAACAATAAAAGAAATTAAAATTGGGATCAAATGTAGAACCCACCATTGATCTAAACAAGAGTTTTCCTGGTACGATTGTCTTGTGGTTTAAAGTATTGAATACCGTAAATGTTGTCTTTCGAAATGATGATCTTATTCGCTCAGTTTTCATTTTCACAACATCAAGGCAAATTAATCGGTCTTTACCGTAGCACTTTGTGCCATGAGCACTTGATCTGAAATCGGCAAAAAAAAGCACCTGCGAAATTGACCATTTTTTTCAAATCCGCAAAAAGATCACGAGACAAAAAACACACACATTGCTACCGTTAATTATTGGGTCGTTTGTATAAAGGCGAGTCACCAAGAAAATTAAATAGATAACAATGACATCAAATAATTCGGAAAGCGTTACATCGACCTTCAGCTCCTCCCGTGTCACCTATCATATAGAGGATAACACACGTGCAACCACAGGTAATTAAATGTTATACCACAGGTTAGTACATAGATTATAATATATCATTAAATTCTGCAGAACACCTGACATTTTCCAGATAATTATCCTTAAATCGACGTCCACCAAGATACATTACGTAATGATAAGACATGGTCCCTTCTCCGGTGACACCGCATATACTCTTATCTCGATACCATGAACACTCATACCGTCACAGACGTTAAACTTACCGTGAACTCGTAAGAAATCGGATTATTGAGCGAACATGGACGACACGCCTTAGTTTATATTTTGATGCATTTGTCAATAATTTATGACAATACCTGACTAAAAATGGCGTCCTTTCTGTGCAATTTATTTAACAAATCTCGTCTTTCTGGAATTTCTGTGTTAAAGAACAACTTAAGACTGTTTCACCAGTCGCCTTACCTGGTGGATATCCCTAACTGTTCTGTAGCCGAGTACGTAGGAAAGGGATTTACCAAATATGGGCAACTCACAGCGCTAGTAAGTCTTCTTTTTCTTACAATCGACAAACACAAATGCAACGTAAAGAATGTCTTATTTTCTATATCAAGTATATTTGTAGATATAAGCTGATTTGTTTTCCTCGATTGAGATTGGATTTTATATTGTAGTGACGTCCGTCCGTTCAACCTTCGTTTCAAAACTTGTTTATTTAACAATCATTTCAAAACTCTTTTTTCCCAATTTCAATTAATTATTCTTGTTGCCCGGATCGATGTGTGCAATGGGTCTTAATGTTGGAGGAAATTGGAGTACCTAGCGGGAACACGCGTAGTCGGACAGTTACTAAATTCCTTTACTCATCCGATCGGCAAACAACCTGGGCTGTTCTATCGCTATCCGATCACCTGTTTCGGCACAATAACTGAATTTCCCATTGGACAAACCTATACATGCATCTTTGCCAAAAGAGCCTGCTTGAGATCATTCTTAGGCACTGATACTCTTAATTGGACACTGGTTTCTGCGCGGCAAGCGCTCAACTCACCTTGGGACGACAACACTCGAAATTCATACAGAATGCCTTGTTACGGGAATGGCTTACTTAGTATTGTATTTCAGATCCGAAGTTCAAAGAAACGGTCACTATTTCTAAAAATAGAACAAATGGTTTCGGACACTAGCTTGAGTTCCCATGGGCCGATAACACTGGCACTTCACACAAAGGTCCTTATCGAAAGTGCTTTCTTAAGATTTTATTACCGAAAATCATAGAACAGAGTGACTGTTAATAAAAGTGGCACATTGTGTACCACAAAAATATTTCGGTATCAAAAATAAAACTCTCGAACAGTGCTCGGGAGACTAGAATGACTCCGGGATACCCAGGTCAATAGTTTAGTCCGTTTACCTTGTGTCTGTTATTTTTCATATGTAGGTGATACTTTTTGTTTTCATTCTTTAGGCTTTAGTAATTTTATAATTCAAATATATCAAATAAATACTGAGTATCTCTTAATTCGTGATCAATTTAATTTACAATTTATATTTAATAAATACTCTGATATATGTGCAACTGTGTGAATAACTTTGTAGTAGACATATTGATCGCCAATACGAGCCTTCAGTGAGTAAATGTCAGGTCAAACATTTTGGTTCCAAAAACGATCTATTACATTTCGGAAGTGTTTGATTTTCGTGGTATGAAAAAATACACGAAATATAAACCCAGAAAAAAGCGTTGCCTTTTGTCACGAGTGATAGTAAGAAATATTAGGTATATCAACGATGTTTTTGACATCAAAGCGAATAAGAACGCTACAGTATACAATATTTGTATTTTACAAGCGGATTTATTTGTTATTCGCCGTCCTAAAGTATGACAAAGGGCATTTAAAGGATCCCGGTGTATGTACCACTGCCCAAAACTATATCAATGCTTTTGAAACTGTACTCTAGCTTTGATCAATCATTTCTGAAAAGAAAAACATAGCTTGCATGACTTTTATGAGAGATACTAAAGATGAAATAAACAAAATATAATCAACAAAAGTCTGAATGTCAATTAACGACTTGCATATGTAATCATTAATCTGATAGAGTTAAAATATGAAATAACGCAGAAACACTAATTATTAATTATTCCCTAGATAATAGTTTACTTTACTAGAAGATATTGTATATTGTGAAATATACACAATGAAAATATTAAATATAAGATATATACCATATTTTCAAGTTCGTGTATGCTTTTAAAGGATATATCATTTTCAAGAGATACCTAAGGTTTTAAATATATGATTATTTTGGTCCGATTTTAAATACATATATTCTCTTTTAAAACATGATGTATAATTTAAAAACTTTGAATTTTAATACTTTCAAAATACAGCATATAGCCTTGTTACAATACGTATTTGAAACGTTGACACTTTTCTCCTCTTTTTAAGGAATTTCCCCGAAAAACTTAAGGCAATAACTATATTATAGAGACCTGTTTTGAGTTGTTGGTCTGGGAAATCATAACAAGGATTATTTTGCATACTTTAATATTCAATTATTTTACTAAAACCTTGAGAATAATACATTTTACATATTTCAACACAGATAGATGGGAAAACCGGAAGTAAAACAACATTTGCTGACCTTGAAGGCCAAATTAATAAAACCACGGCTGGGTTCCAAAGCATCGGACTGACTAAATCAGATGTCGTCTGCCTGTTTGGCACGAACGCCAATGAATTCGTCCACACCTTATGTGGTGTAACGTCGGCGGGAGGAATCCTAACAATTGCCAACTCACAACTCACTTCCGGTAGGTCACAAGTAAAAAACGAACCGGCTTTGAGTTAGTTCCTCCGGGTACGTGTCGGTGTATAGTTTTTTTTTGTCAGCTTCATACACTGTTGTTACACTATTAGTAATTACAATTATAGCGATTACCAAACTGTCTCCAATTGTGATATTGAGGAAATACTTTAGTTGAAATATTGCAAAGAAAACAGTCAAAGTTAGCTATCAATAGTGCTACCACGTGCACGTTTCTTTTGATCACAGATTTTCAATACTTATGTTCCTGTTAAATTCATGTGGTATTTTTCTTTATTTGTACAAAATTACCCTAGGTTCAATGAGTGACAACATTTTGAAATGACCCCCTGTATGTTAGAGAAAAAGAATAATTTTAACAGAGACCAAAACCGGTAGCGCAGTCATCCTCGATACTCATGGCACGCAGGATTACTTTATAAACTTAAACAATATGGCATCTCAGGCAATATCTTGAAATGGATTTCAGACTATCTTTCGAATAGATAACAAGCAGTATATATCAACGTATCCGTATCTTCAGTTAAAAACAGCACCGCAGGTGTACCTCAAGGATCTGTACTAGGACCACTATTATTTCTGATATCTATAAATGATATTTCAAAAGAACTCACTTCAGTAACACGCTTATTTGCGGATGACACTTCACTGTCATATTCATCCCCTAATCTTATTGATAAAGAATCTGAAAGAAACTCTGACCTGAATATAATAGAAAAATGGTCGAAAGACAAAAACAGAAAATCATGATAGTGTCACTTTCAAATCAACCCTTTCATCCTCAATTTTTCTTTAATAATACTGATATGCAAATAACTGAAAATCATAAACACAGTGCCGTAACATTAAGCGGTGATTTACTTTTATGATTTGGATGTGTTCACTACAAAACATGCACTTTTCATTATACGCATGTATTAATTTCTCCTACCCATGTACAACTGCTATCGGTCTACCGTACGCAGCTTTACAATCTAATATAAAACAATAGACTTATCCCTACTGATTATGCTATGTGGGTGGGCATTTTCCACGAAGACGGACAAGTGGAAACGGATTTCAACAGCAAGGAAGGAATGTCAAGGAGAAAGTGCAACAATGTACGGGGTGTAAAGGACAATAGACAAACTGAAGGTGTGTGAAAAGCGATTAGTTTATCACAAGCTCCGTCTTCGTGGAAAATGAACACTCACGTGGCTCACAATCTAGATGAAAACAAATTATATTATGCAATAAAACGTATGTTAGCTGCGTCCATTATTTTTCGAAAAATATCTCCATCTCTTCTTTGACCCCTCTCTTAACTACAATTCTTTCTTGTCATATGTATATTTAAGTAGCTCTAACATTGTGTGATATGTATTGTAATCAATTATATTTTTGTCGAAAAAGATTTGGCAACGTGTGTTCAATTCGTTTGCAAAATCTGTTTATTTGCAATTAAATATGTTTGAATCAAAATCCTCGATACTCCATGGGTTACGCTCAATTTTGCTCTTTGTAGAGAGCGAAAGTAAGCGTAACCCCTGGAGTATCGAGGATGTAGTGCAGTGGGTAAGATCTTAATTTAATATAAGATGGATCTCGTAGCGGCCATTTGTTATGGAAAAAGAATATTGTGATTTTCTTTTTTCTTTATTACTCTTTGCTATAATAAATGGGAATGACGCTCCCAGTTTTTTTTTATTCGCCTACTGTTAATAGTTTATAAATGTATATATCGAGGTATATTCGTGCATTAATTTGCGAAAAAGTTTACGATTAAAATGGCTCACCAGTATTTGTTCAGACATAGATATGTAAGGAATACAGAACAACATTTGTACCTTACTAAACTTCAAATAATCACGGATATGTCATTAAAAAAAGCGATTCCAGAAATATATGTTTTCAGGGATAAAAAAGTTAACATTATCTGTTATATTGTTTGTAAACGTGTACAAAGTGACTGCAGTAAGAAGATTTGTCTGTTGTAGTGGAACTATCGCACCAGCTTGTAGAGACTAACACCCGGTATATAGTCACCACGCCCGACTGTGCTTCTCGGGCCAGGGGCGCTGCTACTCTCTGTCCCAACATCCGGGTAAGTGTTTTTAATATATTTATAAAATGGTCACGTGTGATAGATACCACTTATTCTCTGTCAAGTGACAAACTACTCCGGCAGGCATGACTTTTCGGACCGTGGGAATTGTACATTTGTGCCAGTATGTTCTTTGTAATTGTTTGCTATAGTCATTATTTACATTTCTAGATTTCTAATGCACTCCGAAAAGTCTGGACAGGAAACTCTACAATTTATAAGTTCAATTGGAAAATTTCCTATGCTTCTTTTCGTTGTAATAAAATCGTTTTCGCTAACAGGCCGAAAAAGGAGTTAAAAACCATAAAGAATGTCTTCTGAAACCATTTCAAACCTGAACTGATCTGTATTTTCAGGAAACAATAGTAATAGGTGAAGCGGAGGGTTGTCGCCCTTTCCATACACTCCAGACAGTCCGGGACCTCATAAAGAACGTTGATGTGAATCCCAAAGAAGATATAGCCTTGATGCCTTACTCCAGCGGAACGACAGGACTCCCCAAGGGAGTGCAGCTTACCCATCACAATCTCGTGTCACAGCTGTCACAGCTAAGGTTATCCTCGATAATCCAGGGGTTACGCTCACTTTCGCTTTCTGTCATAACAAAAATTGAAGACACGCGGCTAGCTATTTGATTAGTCTCAGGGGTAAAAAGCGTGACCAATCGCTAAGGCTGATATATGTCCTTTGAAAATTACAGAGAAGCAACAACCGACTTCAAAGCCAGTCTATTTTACCGTTACGCGACCGCGAGATTCTTATGATGTTCATCAAAGGATCAAACTAGTCTTCTTGTCTCATCCACAAGGTAATGCACACTGAGCCTTCAATTTTGCTATGACATTTTTCAGGGGTGCAAAACGTGAAAATGAGCGTATCTGTTTAATCTGTAAGAACGAATTAAGATTGTTACAGTGAGATTGTGTAACACCTAATTCTTATTCGGGTATTATTTAACAATTGCTACATGTGCCATAAATTATGCCTGGCGGACGAAATTGGACATCAACTTTAACACAGACCTAGATTTCTCATCATTTCAAACATTTACCATCCCGGTGTTTTTACAAGTAACTTTTTTTTCTCGAAATATTACTTAAGTATAATATAGCATTTTTTTTCCCCATTTCATTGCAGGCACCATACCATACTTCCGTTTATTGCCGGAAGTGACGTATCTATAAATCCGTTACCCATGGTACACATAGCTGGGATGATGATAGGATTACTAAACCCTCTAGCTCAAGGCGCATGCGTCGTGATTCTACCAAGATTCGAACCGGAACCTTATTTATCGGCTATAGAGACTTACATGGTAAGAGAAATAATAACAATAATAAAGCTGGGTTTAGAACGTTGTTTTGATAAATGTAAACTAGATGTGGTCACTAAGTTGTTACCTAATCTCGCACGAAATGTTTTGTAAACACGAGATTCTCCCCTGTACCTTTTCTGTAAAAAGATCCATATACATGAAATAATCACTAGCAATTTGAAGGAAGGGGCGCTTATTTAAAAATTCAGAAAGTCAAAGCAGAAAGGAACATGATAATGTATTCCTGCATTATGTAGCTATTTTGTCTATTTTCGACTTATCCGAGGTGATAAATGTTAAAAAAAACATCAAGATATAAATGTCGAGAGAGTATTTTATATCTGTCATATGAATATGATGCTCTGATACTGATGTATGGTCGGATGCCATGTACTGTAATAGGAAGAAAGATCAATGATAAATAGTTAATTAAAGAACGGAGCCCACTCGGGAGCACTCGCCACAGAAAACACCGACAAGGGAATTCGCACTCAAAATCGTTAAAACTAGCGCAAAATATGAACAAAGCAAATTTTAACATGGAGATACTTTAGTTTTGGCTACAACAAATCAATTATTTTCAGACCAGTATTTCAAAAAAATAGTGCCAGTAGGACTAGCCACAGGGTTACTGTACTAAAAACCAAATCGAGTAAAACATTTGGGTGGAAAATGAACATTTTTAATTTAATTAGCAGAAAATATATCATTGACTTAGGAAATAACTAAATGTTGTTTTTACAGGGAACGTTTTCGCTCATTGCTCCTCCTCTGGTGAACTTCTTTGCCAAGCATCCCCTGGTGGACAAGTACGATTTATCGACTCTACACACCCCTTACTCAGGGGCGGCAACTCTGTCTCGGTCTCTCACGGAACAGATGGTGGAGCGACTCCATATCACCAGCATCAGACAGGGTACACGCCATGTTATCGTCAGATGCCTGCAGAATCGGGGATTTTTTTCCGTGTTTTCTATAAGAGGACATTGAAGAAAACCAACCGTTTAGAATGTTCACTTTTCTTTTCACTCTTAACTTCGTTTTCATTGCTGTCTTCATCTTACCTTTCGGGGATGCAAAACACTCCATAAAACGAAAGTAGATTTAAACAGGTATCAGTGGACGTAATGCTATGGGACAGTAAAGAATTGCACCTGTGCAATCGCTTATGTATATAACATATAAACTTTATTTGTTTTACAACAATTTTCAAACAAGATATTTCAACTGATATTAATCGATCTTGTTGGTCCGGAAGTTAGCGCGCGGGGGGTCTTATTGTGGGAGGAAATCGGAGTACCCGGAAAAAATCCACGTAGTCGGGCAGGTGACCCCATACCTTATCACGTCCGATCGGGGAATCGAACCCCGGCCGCTTTGGTGAAAGGCAAGTGCGCTATTCACTGCACCAACCGACCACCTAACTGTGGTATTATTGTACAGACGCCTAGACAAAACATGATCACATTGTTTAAGGATCTCATTACCACTACAAAAAACTGTAACGAATACTGGAAACTGTTTTCTCCGGCAGGATTATAGCTTTGATAAATCATTTATGAAAAGAAAATTATACCTCATAATAAAGACGTTGAAAAAAAAAAAAAAAAAGTGTTATGAGTGTAAATATCAGCATGCCTTCACCGGAATTCGAACCCTGTACCCCAGATTGTTATAATTGAAGTGCCCTTGTCTAACTGTGCTACTATTATTTTTTAAACGGAAGTTAAGGGGGGAATACTGTTTATAGGAAAATCCACAGTGTAGTGGGACAGGCATCTTTAAGTATGTCTTTTTGTTATTATTATATTAAAGGTTATGGTATGTCCGAAACTACGGGGGCGACACATACGGATCCACGAGATGGCTGGAAATACGGTTCTATAGGCAAGCCTGTCCCTAACACTCAATGCAAGGTAAAGTATGGTTGTAAAGGCAAACATATCCAAAACACATAATGCAAATTAATTACGCTTATATAGACAAAATGTCTTATAGACTATTATAATCTATATTGCCTTTGTGCTAAAGACAGAGAAATTGCCGTTTGAGAGGGGAGAGTTCCTAGTCTAAATCTTATAGGAGTGCTTCTCTGTCTCCCATACTTTACTGTCCTAAAAATACTTGTCACGGTTTTAGCCCATGTACTGATGGTACGTTATGGTGACAGAAAAAAAAACCTGTGTAAGATGTATTTTCCTGGACAGGGATGCCTCATAGTGAGATGCCAAGTGTTTGGTAACTTGTGAACCTTTCCGCCTGGTTAAGCTCCCCTTTCTCCAACTTTTCAATGCATTGTCTCTCGTTTTACCTGTTGACGATATATTTGTCATCCTCTAGGGTATAATTTCAATACTTTAATGTGTATAAATATATGTGTGTAATAGTAATAAGTGTATTTCCACAGATCGTGTGCCTGGAGACGGGAAACCCCTTGGGAGCGGACGAAGTAGGAGAGATCATGTGTAAAGGGCCACAGGTGATGAAGGGCTACCTTAACAACATGGCTGCCACCAGGGAAACCATAACAACCGACGGCTGGATAAAGACAGGTAACATGTCAAAGGTCAAGGACACACGGACAATGCCAATAATAGTATTCTGTTAATTTTGTCACAGTTTCACTACCGTGATTGTTTCTTTTTAAGTGTTCTGTCGTGTTATCCTTATCTACCATCATGCACAGAACTGTCTCCTTTCCGTACCTGTTTATGATTCCTTTTTCTCTCACCCTTCACAGGCGTGTCTCCCGTTTTAGCCGGGAAAGAACAGCTTGTCACCCCCCTAGGGGGAGATAGCCTCGTGCCGATCAGCACGTGTTTAGTTGTGACGTCATTAAAATGCGTTACCGGTAATTGTGACGTCATCAAAAGTGAATGACGACATTCATACCCCACATGTGTTTTTGTTTACACTACTGTCGGTGGAGTTTTGACTGAAATAATAGGATGGGAGAAAAACAATCATCCCCTATCTTCAGGGTGTGACAAAGAAATCTCCAACCCTCGGGGTGATCTTTTTGGTTGTATAACCCTCGGCAGAGCCTCGGGTTAGGCAACCAAAAAAATCTCCCCTCGGGTTGGAGATTTCTCTATCACACCCTCAAGGTAGGGGAAGATTCTATTGTTCACTGCCCTGGGAAGGATTTCTCTCATCTATCAGGGTATGGCATATAGCTCGTAAGAAACTCACAATACCATATTGTCATGGAAACGATGAAATATGACGTCACAATAAGATGTTTATAGAAGATGTCTTGTGCTAATCAAGATAAAAACATATCACAAATGCTGAAAACCATAGCTTTCAAATATTGATAGGATGGAAGAAGGTGTTAACCTCTTCGCTGAGGGTATACCAGAGATATGTCTATCATCGGGATGAGATTTTGTAATTTTAGTCCTCGACTTGAAGCAAGCTTCGTGTTATACAGTCACAAAATGCATCCCTCGAGTTTAGATTTCCCTGTTATACTCTCCCGATAGGGGAACGATCTATTACTCTGTTTATAACTTCCCTTTTCCAGGTGATATTGGTTATTATGACAAGGATGGTCACTACTTTGTGGTTGACAGACTGAAGGATATCATCAAATACAAAGGTTACCAGGTAATAAAATTAAAAATTGTCACAACTTCTGTTTGGATATCACAGATTAACTGACAAGATAATAATTAGTTATACTTATACTTATATCTTGCAAATTATTGTGTGCTTGTAATTTGAAAGAAAATGGGTCTTAATGTAAGCTGCATAACTTGTGTCCAATCTTGTTGCTTATGAGCAGTAAAATTATGTTTTAACTGGATCATGGGATGAAACATTGCAAAACAATATCATAGTTATTTCCCCTTACCTGTATTATTTATATCACTTCAAAACTTTCTTCTGTAGGAGTTCGCGCCCTTTTCACACAAAGACAATTTAGTATTCGGGATTTCCCGGACTTTCCTTTAATTAACAAGTTATTTGATGACATGTTTGTAAAACAATAATTAAATACAAATACAGAAACTATAGATGAAAGAATGTAAAAAAGTACGTTTTTCTGTTTACCAGATCTCCCCGACATATCTAGAATCGATTCTGACGTCACATCCGGCAGTGATGGAGTCGGCAATCGTTGGCATACCATGTGACGAGTTGGGCGAGGTACCACGGGCATATGTGGTAACAAGGTCACATGTTACCGCTCAGGAACTGATCCAACACGTAAACGGTATGGACTATCTTTATTTGTTTTTCGTAGTAGGGGTAATTACAATAGAAAACACCTGATATTTTTATGTGACGTCACTGAAGTATCTTTTAAATAAAAAAAAAAAAAAGGAACATTGCAAATACCCTTATGCTGACCTGTGGCGTTCTCGTTCTGACATTGTAACATCCTCATTCTTAATCTCTGGCGTCCTATTCCTGACATTGTGACGTCCTCATGGTGACCTTGTGTCACCCTCACGCTGGACTTGTGACGCCCTCACGCTCACCTTGTGATCCTTCAATCTTGTAAATCCCTTCCTTGATATTATTCAAAGGCAACTCTATCTTGTACTACTGTGTAAGCTGTTTACCTGTCTGAATTTGACTGAAGTATGTAACTGAAGGTTCGCAACCTGGAAAATAACATCTTTCTTGTTTATAATTTCAGACCAAGTGTCGCCCTTTAAAAGACTTCGTGGAGGCGTTGAATTTGTACGGGAAATCCCAAAGTTACCGAGCGGTAAAATTTTACGACGAAAAATCAGGGACGATATATCGAAGAAGACAACAATCATTAAAAAGATGAAGATGTAAAGACAGCTTCAGCAGGAAGGGCTGAGAGACAAGAAATATCTTAATATGAAAGGATGAAGTTCCTCTTTTTTCAGCTTACGTCTCCACCATTAATGTTTGCCTGTGGTCATATCAGCGACAGATAAACATTGTGTATCAACAGCCTAACTCCAGGTCTTTATCTACAAAATATTCGATAGAAAGACTTACTCAGCCACTTTCCCTCTCTTCAGTGTTGGAGAAAATGTATTCTTCGTCAAATTTTTACCAATGAACTGTTAGAAATAGTTCTTGTTAGAGAAGAGTATTTTATGACTACCACCTCTGCATTGTTGGAACAACTTCTTAGTTTGGACATTTTGTTTCTCAGCAAAATTAGAGAAAATCTTACCTTCGAACTTTATACATCTTCCATTTTAGAGAAAGGTCTGTTACTTTTAGCTTTTACCTCTCAAAGCTTGGACTCTGTTTAGCATTTTTCTCAAATATGTTTTTTTTCTTATCTTTTTATCTTCGAAAATCAGGTGAAAAGTTTTACACGTGTATATTCTACCTTTGTTATATTAGACTGTCTACCTCTGCAAGTTATAAAAAATATCTGATTTTTCCACAACAATCCGATGCTATGACAGAGGGAATTCTACGATGGTTTATTAGGTAAGCAGTATCAGAAATACCCATCCTATGATTGTCTACCTCAAAAGGGTCAGAGTAAAGTTTCCTCTCATAAAAATTGTAATTATGAAAGATGTGCATGTATTTATGAATGGTAAACAATGTTTAACCACACATGTTTTGTTATGTTAGAAATTTAAAAATAAATCTTGATTGAAAATGGTTTTATGTACGACATTCATTTAGAGCACTTTCAGCAGAATATATGGGCAATGATACACAGACGGCACGAGTGTGTTTTGCGCCTATGGATACATTTCAAGAGGGATTCTGAGACATCAGATTGACACAAATGTGTGGGATTGTATTTATCAAATACCAGCATTAACTCGTTTTAATATTCAATTTTATTGAACTCGAATCAAACAACGACGGCGGACAAAACGACGTCGTGGACGGAATAATGGCGTCACGTTTCTATAGCATTAAGTGAACTTAAATGTTCGGAACATATTTCTGTTTGAATTTGTCGGTGTGATCAAAGGATAACAACCGAGGAGTACAAACTCAGTTACAGTTTTTCCCTTTAAATTGCTGATGGCATATTTATGCATACTTTTTTCCTTTTTCATACCGGAGAGTTCTGTAATAAGTCAATGATTAAAGTACTAGATACAACACGATAACGTTTTTGCTTTTTTGTAAGCATGCGTAGCATCAAAATCCTAATGTTCTAGTCTGGGTAGATTTATACATAAAAGGGGGCCTTGTTGACCGAATGGTTTAGATGTCTGAAATCTACGATCCCCAGCACTCTCCAACAAGGGGCTGTCGCTAGGTACTGGCCAAAGGTCAGGGGTTTGCTCCGGGTATTCCGGTTTTCCGCCAGCACCAAAACCGGGTACGCCCTTAAATGACAAAAGTTGTTAAAAGGATGTAAAGCACAAACAAACCAAAATGTAATAATATCCCAAGGTACAGAACAAGATAACAGTATTGTTCCAGTATACAGTACCTGGTGTGATAGGTACAGAATACCATTGTCCTCATGTATAAAGTCTAGTTTAACATGTTATTGGTAGATAGTCTCCAACATGTAAAGATACCTTATGCTTACATCTAACTTTCCTTTGAAAAAATACAAAATACCTTAAGGCAAACGATTTTTTTTAAATATCACAGAAATATTTAATATAACTGTTTATATGAATATTATCTGAAAAAGTATTATACAAAAAAAATGTGATATACAATTTATAAATATTAAATGAAAGTTTACGTAAGTTCACGTTTAAGTTGAACAGACGTTGAACAGCTTTTCCTAATTTGATTAACGTTTAAGTTGAACAGACGTTGAACAGCTTTTCCTAATTTGATTAACGTTTAAGTTGAACAGACGTTGAACAGCTTTTCCTAATTTGATTAACGTTTAAGTTGAACAGACGTTGAACAGCTTTTCCTAATTTGATTAACGTTTAAGTTGAACAGACGTTGAACAGCTTTTCCTAATTTGATTAACGTTTAAGTTGAACAGACGTTGAACAGCTTTTCCTAATTTGATTAACGTTTAAGTTGAACAGACGTTGAACAGCTTTTCCTAATTTGATTAACGTTTAAGTTGAACAGACGTTGAACAGCTTTTCCTAATTTGATTAACGTTTAAGTTGAACAGACGTTGAACAGCTTTTCCTAATTTGATTAACGTTTAAGTTGAGCAGACGTTGAACAGCTTTTCCTAATTTGATTAACGTTTAAGTTGAACAGACGTTGAACAGCTTGTCCTAATTTGACACTCATAATACTAAATTGTTGAAGACGAAAGTGAGTTTGATTGACAGTTCTCATTAAGTCATAATGTAAATAGACATAAAGTGTGACAAATGGGTCCTCGATACGTCGTTAACTCTGATTTTTATGACGTGAGCACAGGTGAGTTTGAGATGAAATAGAATTTGTATTTTTTTTAATTTGATTTACCTTTGTAAAAAAAATACGACTTATCAACAAATGAACATATACAACAATTTCCTCCTTACACTCTATGGTCAAAGTCTGTCACTGCCTATACCGTAAGATATATGTTACAATCTATAGTCAAAATCTGTCACTGTCTATACCGTAAGATATATGTTACACTCTATAGTCAAAGTCTGTCACTGTCTATACCGTAAGATATATGTTACACTCTATACTCAAAGTCTGTGTCACTGTCTATACCCGTAGTGTGTTGGTGTTAGTGTTGTCATTCCTATTGATTCGGTATTGTTTTACCCCCGTAGTGTGTTGGTGTTAGTGTTGTCATTCCTATTGTTTCGTTATTGTTTACCCCCGTAGTGTATTGGTGTCAGTATTGTCATTTCTATTGTTTCGGTATTGTGTTTAGCCCCGTAGTGTATTGGTGTTAGTGTTGTCATTCCTATTGTTTCGGTATTGTGTTTACCCCGTATTGTGTTTACCCCGTATTGTATTGGTGCTAGTGTTGTCATTCCTATTGTTTCGGTATTGTGTTTACCCCCGTAGTGTATTGGTGTCAGTGTTGTCATTCCTATTGTTTCGGTATTGTTTTTACCCCGTAGGGTGTTGGTGTTAGTGTTGTCATTCCTATTGTTTTGGTATTGTGTTTACCCCCGTATTGTATTGGGGTTAGTGTTGTCATTCCTATTGTTTCGGTATAGTTTTTACCCCCGTAGTGTATCGTAGTGTATTGGTGTCAGTATTGTCATTTCTATTGTTTCGGTATTGTGTTTAGCCCCGTAGTGTATTGGTGTTAGTGTTGTCATTCCTGTTGTTTCGGTATTGTGTTTACCCCTGTATTGTATTGGTGTTAGTGTTGTCATTTCTATTGTTAACCCCCGTAGTGTATTGGTGTTAGTGTTGTCATTCCTGTTGTTTCGGTATTGTGTTTACCCCTGTATTGTATTGGTGTTAGTGTTGTCATTTCTATTGTTTCCGTATTGTTTACCCCCGTAGTGGGTTGGTGTTAGTGTTGTCATTCCTATTGTTTCGTTATTGTTTACCCCCGTAGTGTATTGGGGTCAGTATTGTCATTTCTATTGTTTCGGTATTGTGTTTAGCCCCGTAGTGTATTTGTGTTAGTGTTGTCATTCCTATTGTTTCGGTATAGTTTTTCCTGTTGTTTCGGTATTGTGTTTACCCCTGTATTGTATTGGTGCTAGTGTTGTCATTTCTATTGTTTCCGTATTGTTTACCCCCGTAGTGGGTTGGTGTTAGTGTTGTCATTCCTATTGTTTCGGTAAAGTTTTTACCCCGTAGTGTGTTGGGGTTAGTGTTGTCATTCCTATTGTTTCGGTATAGTTTTTACCCCGGTAGTGTATTGGTGTCAGTGTTGTCATTCCTATTGTTTCGGTATTGTTTTTACCCCGTAGTGTGTTTGTGTTAGTGTTGTCATTCCTATTGTTTCGGTATAGTTTTTACCCCCGTAGCGTATTGGTGTCAGTGTTGTCATTCCTATTGTTTCGGTATTGTTTTTACCCCGTAGTGTATTGGTGTTAGTGTTGTCATTCCTATTGTTTTGGTATTGTGTTTACCCCCGTATTGTATTGGGGTTAGTGTTGTCATTCCTATTGTTTCGGTATAGTTTTTACCCCGGTAGTGTATTGGTGTCAGTGTTGTCATTCCTATTGTTTCGGTATTGTTTTAACCCCCGTAGTGTATTGGTGTTAGTGTTGTCATTCCTGTTGTTTCGGTATTGTGTTTACCCCTGTATTGTATTGGTGTTAGTGTTGTCATTTCTATTGTTTCCGTATTGTTTACCCCCGTAGTGTGTTGGTGTTAGTGTTGTCATTCCTATTGTTTCGGTAAAGTTTTTACCCCGCAGTGTGTTGGTGTTAGTGTTGTCATTCCTATTGTTTTAGTATTGTGTTTACCCCCGTAGTGTATTGGTGTCAGTGTTGTCATTCCTATTGTTTCGGTATTGTTTTACCCCCGTATTGTATCGGTGTTAGTGTTGTCATTCCTATTGTTTCGGTATTGTTTTTACCCCCGTAATGTATTGGTGTTAGTGTTGTCATTCCTATTGTTTTA